ATGACAAACATTTAGGAAACCTAATAAGAGCAGCAGTTAGTGAATACCAGTCGCAAATTAAGAAGATTGCAAGTTCAAGTCAAAGCCAAATATTGCATTAAAGATGTTCTAAAGTTTTTATTTGTTGAGATGACACTGCTAACCAATATAAAAATTAAAATTAATAAAAAAAAGAAGTATTTATATTCAGATGTCATGTGTGACCCTCGGCTTCACAAGAAACAAACCTTTGGCACCTTAAGTCGAACAGGTTGGACAGCACTGCTGTAGACTATAGGCACTGTAGCATATTGTGTGTGCCCAGGCTCAAATTTTAAGCCTAATGTATTATAATTTAGGTTGGCACTACGTACACCGCGGCGGTGTACCTAGACAAATCATTGGCTGTGGCCTGTGTACACCGCGATTTAAAGCAGCAAAACCATGGTCTCTGTGGGTCTTTAAATTTTTTGTCTAACCGGTACTTGTAGATTTACTCTTGTTAAAACTGAAACCTATTTATTTAAAAATAATTTAATACTTTGGGAGGGAGATATTCGGTAAGTTCCACACTTTTGTGGCCAAGTATTTGTAAAGAGCATTTATTTATTGGAAAGGACGGGGTGGGGGTGTAATGTTAAACCATGATTTATTTTTAAAGTTAACCACTTTATTTTCCCCCATATATTGAAATACAAATTTATTAATTAATTTTTGTAATATTTATCCCATGATTGTGAATCTTAATAGGCATAAAAAGGGTAGCTAATTTAAAATCAACCCCCCCCCCCTTTTTTTTTTTTTTTTTTTTGTTGGGGGGGGGGGGGGGGGGGCATTATAATTATAACATTGTATGTGATCCCTCGGGGCGTGATGTAAAAATGAATGGGAAGCCAGTGTATCTATTTTATTAATTCCAAGATATAATTCCGCCACAAATACATTATAGGCAGAGAATCACATACTCACATACATTGATCGTGAAGTTAAAGTTGTCTGAGGCATTGTCATTATGATACCAAGCGTGTGTCAACACAAAACAACAGCATGAAGATAAATACGAAACACTGCAGTGATTTTTTGAAAGTCTTTTAACAATAACTAAATAATCACTGAATTAGTTTTACATTGGCATAACACATTAGTAAAATATGCCCGGGTTGGGGGTATGCAAAATGTAAGTTTGTTGTGCGGATGTCCTTTGTGGACAACCCCTATCCAGAGCCGTGATTTGCGTAGGCCCCCTTTATGGTTAAACCTCTGCCCATAACTCGCCATCACTCCCCGGCACGGATCAATTTCTTAACAAAAAACAACAAATAAAAAAACATTGAAATAGCACAAATCCTGTCCCAAGCGCATAGTGCAGCCGTTTCTGTGATACAACGTTGTGTTTTACCCTGAGAATAGCACATGCCGTTCCATTCTGGAAACAAAGTCCGTCATGAACAGGGTAAATGCAGACCTATGGCTTTGTTATACAGTTGCTACCGCGCCGTAAGTTTCTAAAAATCGTGGTGTTTTCAAAAGATTTGCTGTGAGACTGAGGGTTATGATTGAACTGTGGATATCGTGTGTAAAATTTGCCAATGCATAATGAAAGCAAGATGGTTGAAATATGATCATGCACATTAATATTCATATGATATACTGGTATTTTCTTTGGGTGTTCGTACAAGTAAAATGTAAATATTCAACTACATGGAGAATGTTGAAATACAATAAAAATATCGCTTAGTATTCAAAATGCTTCTCTTTTACATGTTACATACACTATACATGCGCTTTCAATTTTTTTTCTAATGTCTTACTACTGAATATTACCGGTATTTTCAAAGTCAAAGGCTGGTACAACTTGTTGAAACACTTACTTAATAATCTGAATATAACATATATTTAAAATGTTTAAATTGCTTCAAAATATTTAAAAACTTCTCACGAAACTACTTGTGAAAGGAACATAAAAATTTAAATATAAAATATTTTAAAATAAAATGGAAAAAAATATATAAAAACTCGATCTGGGAATTGATAAGAAAATATAATATCGCGAAGTGTCTACTCTGCCACAAGACCACACAAGATCTTATCTAACAGGCATATCTTAAAACCAGGCCACTGGTACATTTTTGCCTAGGTCCATGGTTTTGCTAGGTACACCATCCCGGTGCCCGCAATCACTTCATATAATTTATATCATTTGGCCTAGTTAGTAGGATTACATGGGACAAAAACTAAGCCGACAACCACTCTTTCAGTCTCAGAGAAACAGACCACTGACAAAAACTGGAAGCCGAAGCACATTTGAATAATTTAGGTATAGGCCTAATAGCTAATGATGCTAATGCCTCAAACTTCATACTTACTAACTGTACTCACTTTTAGTTATGAATGAGCTTAATCATAACCAGTAGTTTAAGTTAAAATTTAATATTTTATTGATAGGTGAAGAAGGTGGGCGTAATTTAATAGTTAGTATTAATAGCCTACTAATTCTCCTCTAAAAAGTTAAAATTAAAAGGCCTATAAAGTAATGAAGTGGCTATTCGGACTCGGGACGCTTTAGACTAAATGACTATTCTGGTGTCATTTGTGGTGGTTTATTTTTGTTAAACTGAAGAAGTAAGTTTACAAACATATAGTACATTCAATTATCTTTCATTTAATACCAAATTTTATCTTACAAACCCAACAATAATAATTTAAAGATTTTTTTCAATAAACCCAACCTCTCACTCTTTTCCGGTCAGAATCCCGGGGTCCGAATAGTCGCATCCATCAAGTAAAGACCTGCACACAGTTACTTACAGTTACAGCCTAAAATAAATTTTATTTTTAAAATAATTAAAATATCCAATTTCCAGCTATTATTAAAATTGAAACAGTTGAGTAAGGCTATTATTATTGCTTACTACTTACTTAGTATGTCAATCATCAATGACAATGTCATCTGATCTGTGTTTATGATAAAGTGCCCTGTCATACACACATTTTTTTAATAATATTAAGGTAATATTAATAAATATTATATATGATAAATGATTATGTATAATATAGAATATAGGGCTTTGGGCTAGTCTAGTTAAAAAAAATACCTTAGTTTACCTTAAGTCACTAAAGACCTGAGCTTGTGTGTACTATGCTCAGACTATGACTATACTATACTATGCTGCCTTGCTTTCAATCCAATGTCCAATGCCAATTCCAAGCCAAAGCCAACACTATTCAGAACTAAATTTCAACCCTACACAAATTTCAAGTCATTCAAGTGGAATAAAAGAAAAAAGTACATCGGAAAACATTTGATGAAGCTGATAAAAATACCAAAAATTCCTATCACTGATACAGATACTGTTGTCGTGGTTTAATGTGTCAGATTATCTCCAGAGTTTACTTCACTATTTTTAGTTACTCAAAAGTCAGGTTATCCAAATTGTGTGATGTAAATAAAAAGAATGTAATGGATTGGTTCTTTTTATGTAGTTTTGTTTACCATTGTATGAGTAATTTTGATTGGTTTACTATCAGAGACTATCGGCGTATTATTTTTTGAGTACATTCAATAATCATAGTCATAGGTCTTAACATTTCAATATGATTTTATCATCGTTATCTTACTAGGCGATTTAAATTATTCGTTATTTTTATTTGCAAGCCAATCGATATCTAAATGTATCTGAAAATTTCACTTATTTTGAATTTTGAGAGTTGGAGCAACACAACGTTACTAAGAAATTAGTTTGGTTTCATTTTCAAAAGAAAAGAACACCAACAACATAGCCTATAAATTATAATTGAAGATTTCAGTTATCATTACACTTCTTCTTGGGGTCGCTGGGTGACTGAGTCACGGCATGATGCACCCTGCGGAGAGTTATTTCAGACAGAACACAAAAAAAAATTACCAATTATTAGTAATTATATTATTAATTATATTGATATAAATTATATCATTCAACATGTCATTTATTAAGTTAAAATTAAGTATGACCTGGTAATAAGTAGCAAAGTAAAAGAACGATAACCAAAAACATGAAGTAAAGTCTGATTCTTGCGCCGTTTCGATAGAGATAATTCATCAGACTGATAATTTCAGATAATTATAAGCAGTTAATTAAAATGTTTTTAATATTCTTGTAAATGCTAAAATAAATTGAGTAAATAATATTTTTAAAGCACGATGTTTGAGAACGTTTGATATGCCCCTTCCCCCCACCCCCTTGCATATTCCAATATTCGTTGTTTTATTAAAAATCCATGTTATTTTCTATTTCAAGTGGCTTTTCCTTGCCTAGTTATTTAATTATAAATGCTAAAATAAATTGAGTAAATTATATTTTTAAAGCACGATGTTTTAAGACGTTTGATATGCCCCTTCCCCCCCCCCCCTTGCATATTCCAATATTCGTTGTTTTATTAAAAATCCATGTTATTTTCTATTTCAAGTGGCTTTTCCTTGCCTAGTTATTTAATTGAAGGCAACAAAAATAAATAAATAAATAAAAATTGGTGCAATCGCATGCCCCTCTTTTGCTTAAATTATTATATAATTGTCACATTGTCGTTGAAACGATGTTGTTCTTGTATAATGAGGTTATTATTATATAACTATGCTATTATTATCTATCATTATACTATTTTGAGTTTTAATATAAATGATGTCATGATGTATAGTATAAGTATAATGTATTTTATTAAAATTCGAACTTGCATGTTATACTGTTAGTATTTAATTTATTTGCGCATAAATTTGACATACTTATTATATAAATCAAAATCAAATATTTAATCACGTGCCAGCGTCATCAATTCTTTTTATTTTCAGGTCGTACGATTTTAAATATATATATATATNCCCCCCCCCCCCCAAACGATGCATTCATTTTTAATTACTACGTAGTCTACGTAGCAAAAAAAAAAAAAAAAAACCAAAAAAAAAGGGGGATGATATGATACACAGTTCTCCTGAAATGTATCCATCTAATTTTAAAACGATCATTTTGATTGGATGAGCTATATTTGGCAAGGGAGGTCACCTTGTTTACATTCAGCACGTGTATCTTCCTAATTTCACAAAATCACCTCTACGTAATCTCAATTATAAGTGAAATTAGTAATCCCTTTTTTAAAAAAATGGCTCAAGCAGAACTCAGTGATGCGGCACTTAAGTTTGTAAATGAATTAGAAATGGAAATGATGGTGGATATGTATAACCGGTAAGTTTTCTAAGTCAGGAGCCAAGGTGAATATGCGGCATGCGTCTCTGACTCTGGCTCTGTCCTTTTTTTCTAGACTCTAGTCCTAGTTGTACTCTCTCATTCTTATGAGTCGATCAGAATGAAATGAATACAAATAATGAATTTAATAATGAATATTAATAAATATTCAATATTTTAAAAAATCTAAAATCAATCACAATGGCTTGACAAATGTACTATTGGTATCAATCAACTCAATTCAATTTTGTTGATAAACATAATGAAATGGGCCTGAATTGGAAAATCACTGATCAGTGCTAGATAAGTCTGATAAGAGTGATAGTTCAATTTTTTTAAAATAAATTAATTGAAAAAATTGGAGCAAATACAAAATATAGTTATAATACTTATATACTTATATTTATAAATTGATATGCTGGTGACCTACCTAATCTAGTAAAAAGTCCTGCCTAAGACTACTAATACTAAGTCTAAGTATTGGAGTTTAGGTCACAATAGTCACATTATTGACATTATTAATTTCATAGTAGGAGTAGGATGAAAATGGAAAACAAACCTTCATCAATCATGTAGCTTAGCAGTTAACCGTGTCCAGATTCAGATGTGGTGGTCTGCAAATCAGCCCCAGTTCATGAGCCTTACGGTGCCGTCCGCACAATTTGAGACAAGAAACTAGAAAATTTATTATTTAAATTAATGTTTTATTTTTAAATTTTAATTGAGTCCATTTAAAAAAAAATAAAAGTCTAGTTTCAAAGCCCTTTTAATTTTGATAATACAAGATTTTTTTTCCTCTTAAAATTAAAATCATTGACATAATTCCTTTCTAATCATTTTTTTATTCACACATTTATTAATGATTTATTTTAAATTCCTAAATAAGTGTTCATATAGCCCAGTGGTCAGGGGATCTCGGCTCTTTAGCGACCTCAGTGAGGCTCCGCCAGTCAGCCACAAATTGGTTTTGACTCTGAAAAACATGGTTCTTGAAAAAGAAATTCGGCCCTCAAAATTTTTTTGAAATCGTCTGCTGCTGACTTTTGGCTCCTTTGACTAATGAGTTTGCAGACCGCTGCTATAGCCTATATTTAAAGAAAAATTATATTGATTTTTTTTAAAAACAATTTAAAACAGCAATAATAGATTACGTAAGAAAAAAAGCTAACATTGAACAGCTAGCATTATAAATTAAATGGCAATACAGTAGACCCTATAACATTCGTTATACCCCTTTCTAAGGTGTCGCGGCTGATATAATTGGCAAAATGGTCATTAAAAATGCGAATTGATTTAATGTATATTTTTTTCAGGGGAAATCTCTCTATATAAATTAGTTTACTTCTTATTTCTGTTACTATAAGTGTGTTTACATCACATGCTTTCACCTGGGATAATTTTTGTTTTATCGGGTGTGAGTGAAATTTTCTCAAATTTTTTCACCATAATGTCTGATGCGGCAGAGGGCCCCCCTCTAGGTTTCAAAATTAACTCAGAATTTCTTTATAGGAATTATTTAGAATATTTTATAATGAAAGCAAAGATATCAGAGATATTCCACACACTAGTAATGACAGCATTAGCTCAAGCGGTATTGTCTATATAAAAGTCAGATATTGACAATTTTATCCCTAAGCTTAGTCATATTGTTACAGACACATTCGTCTGGGAAAGGATGGAAATCGAGCATAAAAAGTCACAGATTTGATCCCAAATATCTACCCCATAGATATTTATGTTTGTATATGTTCTGGAGTATTAATTAATAAAAAATTATTTAATAACTTCAATTACAAAAGAATTTTTGAACTAATTTTGTGCCTTCCCCCTTGTATTTTGTATGACAGAAATTTGAAGGTAGTGAATGAAAAATTTCTCAAATATCACAACTATAACATGTCATTTTCTGAAAGAATATTGCTTCTAGTATCTCAAAAACTTTATTTTATGATGGTTTGAATAATTTATGGAGTATTTAGGAAGTTGAGTACGGTATACTTGAGTTAAGTATGAGTATGCATACTTTTGTTTTACTATACAGTTTAGTGCATTCAAAAAGAAATTTGACGAAAATTTTAACGTAAAAACTGGAAAAAAGATTCAATCAAATTACTGTCGATCAATTTCTTTTGATCAAATTTCCGGTAACCATACAAAATAGCCAGTTGAAAATTCCTCCTCTGCAATCTAGTCGATCTATAGTTAATCAGAAATGCATAATCAATTGGATAACTAACACTGCTTCTCTTTACCTTGGTAACTAACCTCTGGCTCATCTAATGAGAATGAAGATCTTCATCCAATATTCTAATATACTGTAGTCCTACCTTAATTGTAATTGTTTTGTTCTTGATTTTTATTTTAAGGAGCTCTACTCTTTTGTTTTCTGAAAAGCTCTACTCTTATCTGAGCCATTATAATAATTATATGGCTTTCCAAGCATGCCCTGAGTTACAGTGGAATCCTAAACTGTTCCAGGATGTTACCTAATTTTCTCTGCTAGTTCCCTGGTTTAATCTAATAATTTTTTTTTTTCAGAATGACACAAGCATGTCAGAAGAAATGTATACCAGCCAAATACAAAGACCCAGAGTTGTCAAAAGGTGAAGCAGTTTGTATCGACAGGTGTGTAGCAAAATATTTAGAAGTTCATGACAGGATAGGGAAAAAACTAACAGCACTGTCCCAGCAAGATGAGGCAACAATGAAAAAGATGCAGCAAGTACAACCAGCTACAAAATAATTATAAATTGACAACTGCACTTGCATACTCTCAACTGCCAATTGGGTACAAATAAATCAAAGACTGTGAAGTGTTCTCAACAAAATGAAAACTTGAGAAACTGAAACGTGGGGTTCTGCACAAGAAAGTTATTAATTAGTTATTTTATAATATGCTGTGATTTGTGTGGTAAATGGAAAGATTTTTAGCAAGAACCTATATTTGGGACCTGAGTTATTTGACCGCCAAAGTTAGATTTCATAGCTCACAAGTGGGTCACCATGATTTAACCACTTCATTTGCCAGTAAAAGGCTTTAATTTAAATCTGAATAAAAAAATTTCATTTCACGTTTCATCATTATGGTTATTAAAATTATTAAGGTGAAATTTATTTTATATGCAAAAAATTCATTGATTAAATTGTATCTGGTAATAATTATGTTCGCAGTTTAAATGGAGAAACATATAAGTTATTTGTTATTTTAAATATTTGAACTTTTGTTGTTGACTGAGTTGTGAAAGTTGGGCACAAGGAAGATGCTTACTTGCAATTTCAACAATAACTAAAGGTTAGTTTCCACACCAAGAGTTGATCAAGTATGTGCTAAAATTAAAATTGCCGACACCATAACATTTCTGATGTTAAAAAGGAAGTTAGAGTTATAGAATTCAATTCAGTTACAAATTCAGTATCTGCCCAACTGAATATTTAAAAGCACAACATACTTAGTCTATCATTTAACCAATGCTTGTGTAAAATTGCACATCAGTTGCCAAGAGGAATCACAGTTACTGATGTTTGTATGTGAAACTAAAATACTCTAAAGGCATGATGTTTGTACTTTGAAAATATATAATTTACTGTTCTAAAATCAAATAGAGTCAGTGCTGTGTGCTTAAAAAGAAGATTTTTAATTATTATATGTATAAGATGTACACATTACATAGTTTTGTTGTTTCATAAAAAATATGTCATTTCTAATAATTTCTATGGATTTTTTGTTCAGTTATTTTAAACTTCATAAAATATTGTAAATTATTTTTTAAAGAATGTGTTGATCTTATTTTGAATTTGTAGTCCATCCTCATCTGTTGCCTACTAAATTATATACTGATACATGTTATCTCACGCCACAGCTTCTATCTGACACTACAGGCCATTGATTCAAAATAAATATCATTACGAGTTTGATTATAAGCATGTTGTACTTGTACTGTACATATCAAATAAATGTGACATAAAAAAATATGATTTCTGGTGCATTACCAGTATTGAATAACACCAGTATAGAATAACACCAGTATAGAATAACACCAGTATAGAATAACACCAGTAAGTTGAGTAAGTGAGACTGAGAGATGCAATCTGAGAGAATAAAGGATAACAATTCTGAGAAAAAATAGATTTGGTTGCCATTTCAGTTTCAACCAAGCAAATTTTAAAGTTCAAATGGGTGTCTAAGAATGATTGGAGCTTATGTGCACCGTCCAAACAGTGGTCTCAATGCTAATTATAACTACGGTGCCTAAAACATTTATTAGAGGTCAACTAGATCAGTGATCTGAATTTGAGGCACAATAATTAAAAGGACATAACAATGCTGGTAAATCAAAGGTCACTTATTTGTTCTCCAAGATATGAAATATCAATATGGCGCCATTCATTAATGATGTTATTCTATTTTGGCTGATATTTAACACCCCCCCCCCCCCACACACACACATCACAAATTG